TCTCTTTATTGTATGTATAAAGCCGATTGGCGTTAAATAAATAAATAAAATAAATAAATAAATAAATTAACAGCACAAGAAATGATAAAATTGTAAACCAACGCAAACTCTTGTCGAACATGCTAAAAAAAGCATGAATGAAATGATGGGAAGGAAATTTAACCAAAGCAAAAACCAGCTTTATTACAATGCTAGTAAATACCTGCGTGCTTCACTGCGTCTTAGGACGTATTCTTGTGCTGTTTGATACCCGTATTATAATATTTAATTTATTTTATCCATTTAATTGAATACAAATTTTAAACAGGTGGCAACCCTCCTCAAAAATATTTTCAGCAGTAGACTTTCCCAAATCTCTATAGTTTGATACCTGTATTGCATTATTTAATTTATCTTATCAATTACATTAAACTAAAATTTTCAAACAGATGGCAACCGTCCACAAAGATATTTTCGGCTGTAAGCGTTCTTAAACCTCTTTCTTTTGACAGCCATATTGCAATATTTACTTTATCTTACCAATTTACTTAAACTGCAATTTTCAAAAACAGGTGGAAGCTCTCTAATTTTTTTTTCTTTCTATGGGCCAGTTTTTCAGTGCCAGTTTAAACTTAGATTAAGTAAACTGAGTTTAAATTGAACATTGGTTGACATCTAATCTTAGTTTAAACCAGCCAGATCGGGCGTTTAAAGTGAGTTTAAACTGCCCTGAAAAACTGGTCCTACGTATGTCCCCTTTCAGACACGTCAAGTCTTGAAAACAATTTTTTTGCATTATCTTTAGTGTTTTCTATTTGCGTCCAGACGCGTCAACTTTTATTGAATTAAAGTTCTTGGTTCTTTAAATGGGAAGCAACGAAAAGATCCAAAAAGAGACAAGAAAACTTGCGGATTTATCTGTACTCTTCCCCTCTCTTCTCACCTCCTTCGGCTTGGAACGAGCAAACGTGAAAGCAACGCCTGACGTGTCTGAAAGCTGACTATATTTTAAGTTAGACCTCTAGCAATACGTCCGTGAAAACTCCATTCGATTCCATGGTATTAGTTTTCGAATGATGCACGTTCAAACTTATGTACAGACAGACGGACAGACAGACAAAAATTCTAAAAATTGTTTAATTGGCTTCTGTTGCTCTAATAAAGACCCCCAATATTGATATTTCTTTAAAATCTATAATGTAGACATCGGTCTGTTACAATTTTATTATATGTATAGATTATTGACTAGCATGGGGCGAGTCGCTGCGTAGTCAATCATAGATAAGCCTGCAACGTCAAGGCAGCTGCAAACGGCTCGGAAATCATTCGCTCGCGCTGATAAGATTTCGTAGTTGCATTGTTTTAATTGAAAGTTGTACTGAGACGTTTTTCCCACTGAATTACACTGGGATTTATTCTGTAAATAGATTCTGTCTAATGATAATGAAAAGAGTAGCGTAGTGTCAAAACAAAAATTCTAAATCAAGTAATAGTAACTTTTGTATGTACATATTTAGTAAAAGTTTATTTATTTAAAAAAATCACATTTTTTATTCAGGCGAAATTTCAATAAAGTTTAAAAGCGCCAGAGGTTTGGACTCTTAAGTAGTTTCTAGAAAAATAAACTATCTTTACCAAAAGCACATGCAAATGTTAAATAATCTTCATTAGCGAGTGTGTTGAACCGTAATTTCGGAAAATTCTTAATATGTACATATGTACATATATTGAAATGATGTTTAAATAATTGAACCAATTAAATAAATACGCAAACATTTGCACACATTAATACATACATATTTATAATATACGTACGTAAATATGTACATACATGATATATGCCAATAAATGTTTATTTTTATTACATTGACATGCATATGTACATATGTACATACATATATTGCAGACTTTTAATCGGACCATAAGTTACGTCAATAAAGGTGTGTATATTTCTGCGAATTGTGCCACATACAAAGTGCCCACGATTTTTGATGGCATCGCTCCGCGATTAACCAAATCAAATACGCTACATTGTATGTTAATCGCTCTACGTCAATGCAAATTTGTTCGCTTTCACGCACCTCTACATTATCTTTCGACAATTATTAAATGAATAAAAAGTTGTACAATCATGCAATGGAAGCGTGCCACGGCGTATACGACTTTAAATTTAAAAGAAGTGCGAGTCTTTAAAGCTTCAAGTTTTATTTTTGGAATGAAAAAAGAAGCCAGATAATGGAAAAATTTGTGTTATTACAGAGACACAAAAAATTACAAGTATATTTAGCTTATCAGTTCATTTAAAATTTAAAAATAATATTAGCGCGATAATTTTAAAGTCACCCCGTTCACTAGTAGGTGTTAATGGATAACCTTTCATTTGCTAAAGGAATTTTTTTGTGTGGGTAATTATAAACGAACCGTGGGAATTCACAAGTGCTTTTACAAATACCCATGTATAGTATATACATATGTATGTACATATATGATTGTATGAATGTAGCGTTCGTAAATACCTCAAAACCTTTACTACATTCAGCGAAAAATATCTATTATTTCAATCAACTGACCTACGACAACCAAACTGCTCATTTCTTATTTTTAGTTTGCAGCACCTGCAGCACATTTATCAAACTACTCCCATTTGCAGTGTCCGACTTTGTTTGCTGAGGTCCATTACAACGCTTCTTACGGTCTGCTGAACTATGTTTTGACAGTGACTTTTGGAGCTTTTCTTGTTTTACACGCAAAGCATCAAAGTAACGTGATATGCGTGTTCCGCCAGCTGAGGCATTTGCTTGTGACGTAACCGTGTTTTCCGATGTGTCAGCTGGTTTTACTGGCTCTTCCTTAATGTATTCCGTTTTAATGAACTCCATAGAACTAATGGAAATTTTCGACTCATTGGTCACCATATTCTCAACATTGAACTTTGCATTAGTAAATTCTGCTTTAACAGTTTGTATGCATTGTATTTCAATTTTTGGTTTTAATTCTTTCTTTACGTCCAGCAGACGATGCTCAGGTGGTGGTGGCATGACGGCAAAATCGAAACCTATTTCTGGCATATCGAAATTTGCTGAGGTTTCTTGTGTCGTTAGTGAGGTGGTATGAAGTGCAGTGGATGCATCAGTCTTATAATTACTAAACTGCTTGTCAATACAACTCACGTCCTCTTTCATATCCAATGCATCTTTAGAAAATGAATTCGGCTCAAATGTGTTTTGATGTTTCAATGAATAAGCTGAAGGTAACATTTCTGAATGGTTCTGTGATGTGGTGGGTAACATGCAACTGGTAGTTTGAAAGGGGAATGGTGTCGCGCTATTCTCTGTGGTGCTGCCAACAATTCCTGATTTCTCAACAGTATTATTTTTCCCATCGATACAAAGTAGCGCTTCCACAAAACGGACACTATCTAACTCATCAAAATCATTGTTAGGATAAGAACACAAATCAGAAGATGGCAAGGAAGTGGGTTTTGGTGGGCTCTTTTGAAATTCTTTAGACGACACATCTTCCTCAGAATCCGAAAAGTCATTTATGTAAGGATAAATGCAGGAGGAACTCTCACATTTCACAATTTGCTCATTGATATCGATGTAAAAAGTACGTAAACGATTTCTCAAGCCTTGTTGCTGGCATTCGAGGCAGATATCACCAGGTTGAAATGTGCTCTGCTCCATGATGATGATGTGAGCGGAATTATAAGAGTTAATTTCAAAGCTGTTTGAAAATACATAATGGAAATATGTAGTTACCATGATGTTATAAAAGTGATTTATGTGGGAGATGTCGAGCACAGTTCAACCTGTTAAAAGAAAACTTAAAAAGGTAACGCGAAGTGACAAAAATAATAAGATTTGAGGTGAATGTTCCCAATATTATCTGTTAGTTCGAGGCTGGCACAAAAAAATCAAGGAGGCGTGGCACCCCTCAACTTTCCAGCTTGAAAGAGTAATGAATTCAGTTGCATGCTTCTCTTTCTCCTCCGACTACAGGGCTCCTCAGACGAACCTCCTCAAAACAGGAAACAAATATTCGAGTTTGCTTACAAATTCCATAAAAATAGAACTTTTTTGTTCGGAACTTCTTTGTTCAAAACAAAAATAACCAACTCCGTCTACGCTGTAGTATTTACGGGAGATTCTTTCTGCGTAGGCGGCCCTCCATTTTTCTCTGAAGAGTCCTGTGGTCGGAGGAGAAAGAAAAGCATGTCATTGAATTCTTTGATATTTGCTCTTTCAATCCGGAAAGGTGAGCGGTGCCACGCTCTCCTCATCACTTTTACCATATAGAAGTCAAAAATAAGAAACATAGTTAAAATGCATATTACTTTATGAAGAAGGTAATGCTATCACTTTTAATTAGTACATAGTGCTACAACGGCTGACTTAGCACTGCCTGGATGGCTTGTCGGTCAACGGCTTTTGTCCATGAGGGACAAGGGCTTTAGATGGATGGGAGTTTGGGGCACCCCAAGAGGTGCCGTGAGCCATGTGTGATCTCCGCATGCCGGGCACTCGTTGCGCACATCTGCGTTCACTCTGCTCAGGTATGAGTTTAACCTGGTTTAAAATCGAGAGTGAAGTTTGGCAGACAAAGCTCTGTGCCGTCCACCTCGGGTGGTTGGTTACACAGATCGGGAGTCGATGTAGGTCTAGACCCCCGTGAATGCCGGTTATGGCCTGTCGGTATGCTGTCGGGTCCAGAGGGCAACTTGGGGACCTTGTTGCGGTTCTGTACTCTATTGACAATTGCGGTTGTTTGCGTCGAGGAGAGCAGAGTGTCGAAGATAACTCCGAGGATTTTTGGGTCATTTAGCGTCAGAATTGGGTCGCAATCGACGTAAATTCCCAGCTTCGTCTGAACTTCTCCGGTTTGGTGATAAAAAGGCTTGCCGATGATTTCGTAGGGGAGAGGGTCAAGTTCCTTGCAGTGAAGAAGCGAAATGCATATTTGTAGTC